CTTGGGTATAAATTTGAAGTCATTAGCCTGTCTCCCTGTAAAAAATTTTGTATATATAATATAAAATTATACAAACTTGTAAACCCAAATCCAATCGCGATTGAAGCTGGAAATTTGAATTATTTCAATGTGAAAATTTCAATTTTTATGGTGCACTTTATTATAGTTAAGTTAGGATTTAGAGTTAGTTTTAATAATAAAAGATTATAAGTGGATTTTCAGCTTCAGCTGCGTCAATAAATAATGCTAAGTACAATCCGCATATATTGTATGATCACATGATAGTATATATGAACATGGCTAATGTGCTTAGTCCAAGAGGCTTCTTTAGGACTTCAAGTTCTTTTTACGGTGTGCCATGTCAGTATTTGTAGTAAATATAAATTTCTGCATTGAAATGTTGACTCTCTAATCAAATACACAATTTCTCCCTTTTACAACTACAAATCCTATTCCTTCTAGAAATCAACATCAATTCGATCCATCTCAAAATCATCAACTTTCTTTTCTTCTTTTGCTCTTTTCCCTCCATATTATTGATCTCCCCTGCGAGACATATGCATTTTAATCGTCCTCCTTTCTTCAGTCAACCTTCAAGATCTCAGATGCCTTTATCCGAAATTTCTCCTATTATTACTATGTTTTTGACAGTTACTGGCGCGCAATTGTCTGATGAATGCTCGGGTAACATGGGTTGCTATCCTAATGAACTTGTTCCAATAAAATATTTGAAGTTCTAAAGTGAATCATTATGATATTGAAGTTCTGTAGTTAATAGTGAAATGCGGTAGGAAATTGATAAAAACCTTGCATTATATCATAATATACACGCTGAAGAAAAACATGAAGAATTTACTAACCTTCATAGTAAAGGATATATTTTGCTAATACGTTTTTTAGTCATTTGGTACATGATAATGATATTAACATGACATATCTGAAAAGTTTTCAAAAATTTTCTTCACGAAATTTTAGCCAGGAAAATTCATTTTATACAAGATTACTGATAAGTTCTTAATTTGGTAAGTGGAATGATTAAAAAAAAGGAATATCTACCCGCACCTTTCAAGAAATCCATTTAAGGAAATATGAATGGTATCGTGTACGGTAACTAATTTTACTCCAAGTTTCTATTGGTCATCGGTAAATAGCATTTTTTAATCGACAATCCTTAATGACGTACTTAATCCTAGCCAATCAGGAAACAAGTCAATGATGATCACACTTTATTTAGTATGATTATTAATTCGATTATTCTAGATTTTGATAGCCCGTGATAATTATCCAATCAAATTAATCCAACAATTTTAATACTGTATTCATAGTGAAATACTCAAAATTTATTAAATATTTTAAATAATCATTAATATCTTCTATTTTGTAGTCATTACTATATTTTAATAAAGACAATTTACAATCTCTAACTCATATTATTAAATAAATAATACTATTTGCTTATTATTAATTCTGTAATTAAACGACAATACCACCCAGTAAATATATAGTAACTTAACCCAAG